GCTTGACTCATGATTCCATCCGCGTTTCGTTTCTGTTCGACCCATGATTCGACTGTATTTGACACTATCGACCCTTTTCGACACATGAGTCGAACAACTTTTTGTTTCTGTTTGACCCACGATTCGACTCTGTTGTTTTCTATCGACCCCATTCCACTCTTGATTGGAGCCAGTTTCACCCATGATTTGGGCCTTTTTGATTGTATCGACACTGTGTGGCTCTATTGATCCTCTTTCACTCCTTTTCCGATCCATTTCGACCCATGTTTTGACCCTGTTCGACACTAACGACCCTGTTCAACCCATGATGCCACCCATATTTTGTTTCGATTCATGGTTCCATCCATGTTTTGATTCCACCCATGTTTTGTTTCCACCCATGTTTTGTTTCCACTCATGTTTTGTTTCGACTCTATTTGACATTAAAATCCCTATTCGACTCATCAATTGACCCTTGTTTTGCTTCTGCTCGACCCATTATTTAACTCTGTTCTACTCTATCGACCCCGTTTGACTCTTGATTTGACCATGTTTGACCCATAATTCTTCCTAGTTTGACACATGATTCAACTTTGTTCGGCTTTAACAACACTGTTTGACACTTAAGATCCTCTTTGAGTCATTTTTCGACCCATTTCGACCCATTAATTGACACTCATTACTCTATTGACCTTGGTCGACTCTTGATTCGACCAATGTTTTGTTTTGTCCGACCCATAATTCGACTTTACTTGACACTCAATCTTTCTCGATTGATCATTTGACCTATGTTTCAGTTCTGTTCAAGTCATGATTAGACCCTGATCAACTCTATTGAGCCTGTTCGACGTAAGATTCGACCCTGTTCGACCCGTGACACGACCCATGATTCGACCCTTGATTCGGCTCTGTTTCACTCTATCGACCCTATTCGACTCATGAATCGACCCTTTCTGACCCAAGATTCGATACTTTTTTGTACTTTATTGACCATGTTCGACTAATCATTGGACCAAGTTGGACCCATTATTGTGCAGGTATCTTCTTGTCCATCGTCCATTTAGAAATCGTGATATTACATTCAAAAAATCTAACTCAGTAAAAACCTTGTACATACCCCAAGTTTTGTAAAATCATTGTATTCATGACATGAATTGTTTCACATTAATTATAGAAAAATGCGGTAAAATCTTATAATAATATCATGATTTGTCAACAAGGACAAGTCAACAAGGACAACTCAGCCCCCCTCAACTTCAATACCCTACCTCCAACAGGACAAGTTCCTCCATCGTCCACCCAAGGACATGCAAGTGCCTGAGTCATAAGCAACGGCCTACATACAGGACAAGTGCCTTCATCGTCTACCCAAAGACTAGCAAGGGCCGGAATCATAAGCAACGGCCTACATACAGGACAAGTGCCTTCATCGTCTACCCAAGGACTAGCAAGAGCCTTCAATAATCAGCAAGGGCGTGAATCAGCAAGGGCGTGAATCAGCAAGGGCGTGAATCAGCAAGGGCGTGAGTCAGCAAGGGCGTGAATCAGGCGAGATCCATTTCGAAAACGTTTTTTCACTTCGAAAACCATTTTTGTGCTTAAACTTAAAAATTCATGGTCTTGCTACAAAAATTTTAAACCCATAGTCGATTTTGAAAGTTTTATTCATGTTCGTGCCATAACAAAACTCACTTGTGCCAATATTTAAAACAATTGTGCTAAACTTTTGTACAATATTTTTAAGAAATCTACAACCTCCGATAAGAAATATTAGTGCTGAATTGGTCAATTTTTTGTTAATCCTCGGGGTACCAAGGAAGTACCTAAAACAAACAAAAAAACAAAAAAAACTTCTAGCCCAAAACTAGCTGCTGCGAATTTTCAAAAACCCCTTTTTTTCCGAAACGTTTTCGTTAAACCCATAACTAAAAAAGGTTTTACTAGCCACATCTACAAAACTTTCACAAAAATTTTGAAAATCTCAAAAGTTTTTACTCATTTGAACTCTTAAAAAAACCCTTAAAAAAAGAAAGTTTCACCGCTTAGTCCTTAACCATAATTAAAAAGCTCATAAATGCGTGGGCTGTAGCTCACTTTGTTTAATTAACCACCGGGTTAACACTCTGGCTGGTTGATTTTAACAAAAAAAGTAAAAAATTCAAAGCAAGAAAAATTCAAAGCAACGACAAGCCCACGGGAAGAAGTCCGAAAGAAACTATGAAACTGCAGACCCAAACCCATTATGAAACCCAGTTTTTTATAATCTGTTTGAATCTGCCATTAATCGTCCTGGATATTGGCAAAACTTTGAAGTACAAAAAAAGGTTTTATTGCTACATGAATGCTGATTATATGAACTTGATAGTTGTAAGCGTTTGGTTGTATGCTGCGTGCGCTGAGGCTTTCAAAGCAAAGAATTAACGCTTACCAACCAGTTGTTCGATGCTTACGGTTCGTTATTCGGTTTATCAAATCGTGCGGATTATAATTTAGTTTTCCTTCTACCTTGTTGTAGGACAAAATGTTGAACTGAAATGGTTTTTACTTGTGCTGAGGGGCGGATCTAAGTTCTTCTCGAGGGAAAAGGGCATTATTTAAATTGTAAAATCTTTTTTTAGTCTGACCAAACTATCCCAGCTATCAATTTTAGGAGATCACCCCTGACTAGGCTAATTAATAAAATAATTCAGAAAAAAAAAACGTACTTATGAAGTTATAGGAGCAAACAAATGGGCAGTGACTCGATAAAACTCGGCTGGCATAACACACAAAACTCTTAATTATTGTCAAAGCAAAATTTGTACTCAAAAAATATTACAAATCACAGTTTTTCTCACATTTCAGAAATTGCGCGGCAATCAGAATTAAGTTAAAGCTGTTAAAGGTACAGGTGAGCCTGATCATCACCAGTCTGCTCTGTTGAATGAAATTTAAATCTGTTGATTTATGCTTTCATTTGCTCTGTTGATTGAAAATGTTTGATTTCTCGATTGCTCAAATTTCTGTTTTCTCAGTAGGGCGAGTTTGAGTTTGCACGGATTTTTTCTTTGTTGAAAGTAAAAATCTTGAGAAAGCTCAAAAAAGCTTCATTACCGGAACTACTTTGCGATCGCTGCCATCTGAGCTCGTTAACTTTTAATGCATCTTTTCTACTCTTTGTACTACTTTCTTGAATGGCTACAACGAAGCCAACCTTACAACAGCTACTCAATCAATGGAGACGTCGCTACAGTACTTTCGAGGAGCTTGAGGAAGAAGTAACGAGGCAAATAGCCAACTCAAGCGAAATCGAGTATGATATACTCAGTTTTGAGGAGATAATCACTTGTTTTGATCTGCTTGATACGCTCGCAGACGACTTAGCCGCGTTTTCTACTCAGGAAGCACAAGACTGTCTCAACACTGCTTCAACGCTGCGAAAACTAAAGTGCGACCTCCTAATCAATGTTAGAAAATACGAAAAGGTCTTAACAAACGATATTCAGTTTCCACAAGGTCAAACAGCTCACTTAGAGTGCAAGGCACATCTGTAACAGCCAGTGTACCAGTAAGAAGCTCAAATACTACTGAAAACTTGGCCAACAACGTCATCAGTACTACGGCTGCCGACTTCTCAACTTACAGATCCAACTACGCCTTAAGTACATTCGACTTAGACGCTCCCAACGCTACAGTTTCCCACCTCTACCGGGAACCAACAGAGCTATAGATCAGACAATCAACAGTGTCATCACTACTTCTACAACTGATTTCAGATCAATCTCATCGTCTGCAAACCCATGTACTTTCAATTTTCGAGCTCCTCTACGATACAACTTCTCGCCTCCACCAGTTTTCAATGAAAATCACATTTGGAACGACAACTCAAGACAGGAAGCCCAGATGTCAACTGGCAATAACCGATATGGTCTGCTAACAACTTCAAATGCAAATAGTCCTGCTACTACATCTGAACACTTCGTTACCAACCACTTCAACGACCATCATAGGACTAACTTACAATCACACGAACAACAACGCAACAGCCTTTTCGATAACGAACAAAGACAAGTCACCAACCACGCTACCAGTCATCCGACCAATGCCATCAACAGTTTGAAAGGATTCAAATTACCAAATATAAAACTACAAAAGTTTGACGGCAACCCACTGGAGTGGAACATCTGGTTCGAACTCTTCCAGACTGCGATTGGCAACAACCCACGCCTAAGCCCGGTTGAAAAAATTACTTACTTGCAGTCATTATGCACTGATAATGCTAAATCTTTAATAGAGAGCTACGGAACCAATTCTTCTCAGTATGAACAGGCAATACTTGAATTAGTGCGTAGATACGGTAACCCAAAATATTTGATGTCAGCGTTCATCAGAGAACTTGAAAAGTTTGACAAATTGACACTAAGCGAACAACAGGGCTTTATAAGACACGCTGCTTTCGTACGGAAACTAATCCACAACTTCGAACTCAACGGCTACACCGCTGATCTAAATTCCAGTAACCTGACCCGACTTGCTCGCTCAAAACTCCCAGTAAGTCTACTAATGAAGTGGGAAGAACACTGCGTGCTACACTCAAAGACTTGACGCAGAACCTCAATAACTACTCGCGAGCATGCGACAACCTGGACCTAGAGCCGTCGACTCCAAACCAAGCGGGACGAAGTCGCCAACCTATGAAGCAACAGCAATCCGACAGCCGACCCAACCAATTTACTTCTATGTCCAGGCAAAACTACGACAAAGCTTCAGGCATATCAGCAAGACCAACAACTTTAACATGTCCAAGAGATAACCAAGTTCCCTACGTTGGAAAATTTTCGGACTTTTTGAAACTTCCCGTAGATCAACGGGCAGAGCTGGTGAAGCAACATAAGCTGTGCTTCAACTGCTTAGGCCAACACAGATTTAGTGAATGCACATCGTCTTAGCAATGTTTCATCAATAACTGCGGAGGGAAACACCATTCAACTCTACACACCGACAAAAAACCGTTTCAAACGCACAACCAAAAATCAAATAACATGCAGCTTGGCACTACAGCAAACAAGCCCTCGGAACAAGCTGAGGCTTCATTCCAAAATATGAACAACATCAGAAATCAGTTACAATTTATGCCGGTAACATTATTTAACAATGGCATCAAACTAGATTGCTACGCCATACTCGACAACTGCAGCAGCTGCTCATATATCCTTAGCAAAACAGCTGAAACACTTCAGTGCAAACCAAGCCAACAACTACAGCTTAGCGTACGAGGTGCTTTCAGTAAGGACAAAGTGTCTTCCTCGCTGGTCCGGCTTAGTATTGGACCACATAACGCTACAAAGCCTACTTTCACCCTAAAATCAGTCTATTACGTTGGAGCTCTGAGTTTTGACGCCATCGATGTAAACAACCTTAACAAAACGTGCTCACTCTACAATCAACTTCTACATGTCAACTTTCCTGAACTAGGTGACAACACAGTTCAAATTTTGCTTGGCGTAGATGCTTTCTGGAAAATTGCGGAGCGCGATATCAGGAAAGGTCCTACAGGCACCCCCTACGCTGTAAAAAACCTACTAGGTTGGACGTTCACTGGCCCACTCAACAAGAAATCTAGTAGTTCCGGATCAAATTCACACTCAACTAACTTCATTGACTTAAATGATCAAGAAGACGCTAATCTCACTAAATTAGTGGAAAAATTCTGGAAAGTGGAAGGATCAGGCATCCAGGAAGATAACAAAGCTACAGACTCTGATAAAAGCAAACGTCAACTAAGATTTATGGAAAAAAGCATTGAGCACGATGAAGATCGCTACAAAATAAATCAACTTTGGAAAAACGAAAAAAAAATGCCGAACAATTATCTGGTAGCTAGAGCTCAACTGCTATCGCTACAAAAACGGCTCAGAAAAGACCCTGAAACCATGCAAGTTTATGAGAAATCGCTTACTACTGACCTGGAAAATAACTACCTCATGCACGTTACTGTCCAAGACCCACAACCTGAATTACTTTGGTACCTCCCACATCACCCTCTAACTAATCCAAACAAGCCCGGGAAGGTACGCAGAGTGGCCAACGCTGCCTCAACGTACAAAGGCGTCTCGCTGAACTCTTGCCTCGAAGCTGGACCTGACCTCCTGAACAACATGTTTGGACTTCTACTACGATTCCGGGAAAAACCTGTGGTTGTATCGGTGGATATTGAAGGTATGTTTGTGCAAATAGGTATTAAAGATGAAGATCAAAATGCGCTTTGCTTCCTTTGGCCTACTAAAAATGGTATCAAACAATACCAATACACGCGACTTATCTTTGGTGCAAAATGCTCACCATCCATTGCCATCTTTGCGCTTCGTCAAACAGCTGCCGATTACTGCGTAACCAAACCCATTATTGCTCAACTTCTCCACAAAAGCTTTTACATGGACGACTTTGTTCACTCGTTCAACACGACACACGAGGCTAGAGGCTCTGCTACGCAACTAAAAACCTCCCTAAGACAGGGGGGATTCAACCTAACTAAGTTCGTATCTAACAGTAATGACGCGATCTACTCCATTGATGGAGGCGAAGTTTCTACTAATGCTACAGTGCATCGTGTCCTGGGGGTCAAATGGGACACAACTGACGATACGATATTTGTGCAACCAACAACCAAGCTAACTAATACAACATCATCTACACTCTGAACAGTTCTCTCTACAGTAGCAAGGGTTTTCGACCCCTTAGGCATCCTAGCGCCGTTTGTCATTAAACTCAAAATTCTTCTGCAAAATTTGTGGAAGTCTGGTATCTCTTGGGACGAGACTGTGCCCAGTGATTTTGTTCCGATAAATGACAAATGGGTCGACCAATGCAAACATGTACCCCCTGTTAGGCTGCCGCGCTTACTTGGTCCACAGCTGTCACCTAGTGGTATACAGCTTCATGTTTTCTGCGACGCGTCGCAAGACGCAATGGCTACTTGTATCTACTTCCGAACTGCTTGTAGCTCTGGCATACACGCTACTTTTTTGATTGGCAGAACAAAGGTAGCACCACTGAACCAAGAGAGCATTCCTAAACTGGAATTACAAGCCGCCCTTATGGGTGCTCGGCTATGCAAGTTCGCTACTGATGAAACGCGATTAAAGCCCCACTCCACTCACTTTTGGACGGATAGCACTACTGTTTGGTCCTGGATCGCTTCACCTGGTAAATTGAAAACTTACTGCGCAAACGGAGTTGGTGAAATACTTACTTTATGCAAAGTCGAACAATGGAAACACATCCCTGGTAGACTCAACGCAGCAGACAGTGCTACACGGGGAATTGAACTTAAAGACGTAGCAAAGCTCTGGTTGGATGAGCCTACTCAACAATCAGCCTATTTGGGGGATCAACGAAATAATGGAACAAAGCAATTCTACAACGGTTAGCCCCTCAACTACACCCGTAATCGATTCTTCCAGGTTTTCCGACTGGTTTCGATTAGTTCGGGTCACAGCTCGGGTTATAGTTTTTGTCGATACACTGAATGGAAACAGTAAGCGTTCTACTACTATGGAAGACCTAGAAAAAGCTAAGCTCCTCCTTTATCAACAATCCCAGCAAGAAACCTTTGGTGAAACCTACAACCTACTACGAACCAAGCAACAAGTTGAAAACAAAGACAAACTGCAACAGCTGTCACCTTTTCTCGACAACGGTATTATTCGCGCGCGAGGACGACTACGAAGGTCACCTTTACCGGACGCAACAAAGCATCAAATAATTCTTAACGCAAAGGACCCAATTGTGCGCATGATGATCGAGAACGCTCATCGCCGCTGCATGCATCACGGCACTGAGTACGTTCGCAACTACCAGCAACAAAGTTTTGTCATCATTGGGCTCCGAAAAACACTCAGACAGATAAGACATAACTGCTTTCTCTGCAGAAGATTCCAAGGCAAAGGGCTACATCCACTCATGCCCGACTTGCCGCCAACTCGTTTCAACGATCCGTCTGACGACCCATTTCCGTTCAAAAACACAGGAATTGACGATATCGTGCCATTCTCCATAGCAACAAAGGATACAACTGAAAGACGCTATATTCGCCTTTTCACATGCCTCTCTATTTGCGCGGTTCACCTGGAATCGACAGAGAACCTTACTACGAACAACCGTATAACGGCAATTAGACGTTTCATTGCTAGGAGAGGCACACATAAGCTTTTAATCTCCGACAACGCTACTTACTTCGTCGGCGCGCGTAAACAACTACGCTCAGAAACAATCAACTTCAACGGAACCACCTTAACTGAAACGCTACAAGTTCACAATGTTGAATGGCACCTAAACCCTCCGGCTGCCCCTTATTTTGGCGGCGTGTGCTAGAGACTCGTTTCAATGATAAAACGAGCATTCCTACTAAATCTCGGTCCTGATCGACTATCAAGAGATCTATTTGCTACTATCGTAGCCGAGACCGAGGCAATCCTCAACTCACGTCCGCTAACTCATGTCAGTAGTGACCTTGACGACGAACTTCCACTGACACCCAACCACTTCTTAATGGGTCGTCCATTCGTCTACGCTCCAGCAGCAGCCTTCTACGAAGCATCTACCAGTAAACTGTCCAACAAGTCCTGGAAGCGAGCAAAAGATAGACTTGACAGCTTCTGGAGGCGTCTACTTAAAGAGTACGCTCTGACTCTCATCAGAAGGACTAAATGGACGCAACCCGAGGAACCACTCGAAAACGATGACCTCGTGTGGATACTTGAGGACTTTACACCACGAGGCATCTGGCCACTGGGTCGAGTGTTAGAAGTTTTTACCGGCTCGGATGGCATCACGCGCTCATGTAAACTGAAAACAGCCCGAACTACTTTAATGAGACCAGCGGTGAAACTTGCCCTCGTATCCCCAAAAAAGAAGATTTAAGAATTCTTTAATTGTACTACAACAACAAAAACAAAAAAACTTGGCTCAACTCCTTCCCCTTCGGTTCCAAATAAGATCTCCCTCCCCCGAGGATATTCATGACATGAATTGTCTCACATTAATTATAGTAAAATGCGGTAAAATCTTTTAATAATAGCTTGATTTGTTCCGATTTAATGAGTAATAAATTTGACTTCAACAAAGTGACTTTTAAGACATGTTCATCAAATTGTCTTAAATACATTGTTTTTTCCAGTTGTTTTTTGTCTGATGAATTTTTTTTCATTAATAAGACATTGCCAACAGACAGTTGGAAAAGAGCCATTGAACAAAAATTAACAAACAAAATTGATACTGGATCAATAAGTAAGACTTTTCATTTCTAGAAATAACTGGAGTTAATCTTCAAAAAAAACCAATGTGTCGAACGCGAAACAGTAAATTTGAGCCTGATCAAATTTTAGGACTTCCTGAAAAAAAAACAAAAAAAAATAGTTGCGACCGATATAAGAGTCTGAACTACGTTCATCGACTCTTAAAAAGTTGCCATTTTGCTATTAAATACGAAGCAAGTTTAAGCTGATGCAACCGTAGCTATCAAGAGGGGGAGGGGTGTTTAATAGAGTACTTTTTTGGCGTCCTCTAAGTTGTCTTTTGTAGTTTGCCATATGCCTATGCCGTCATCCACGACTTGATCGTCGCCAAAGTCACTGTAGAATGCGATTCGGGGAAACAAAAAGTTTTCATCTTTGTTGAAAATTGCCGATGCCAGCATCTGCTCATAGGCTTCTTTCGCCACATCACACCCCTTTGCATCTTCAAAAGAACAGTTGAGAAGCTTAATGGCTGAACTCAGTTTATGCTTCTATAACGACCCAGTTTCACAACGCTTACCCTTTTTTTATAAGCTTAGTTTTGGGTTCTATACAGATAGAATGGATTCTTTTTAAAACGAATAGCGTTTATACTGCAATAATTCCGATTAAATACTGAATAAATACAGATTTTCTACAGATTATATACACAATTTGCACGACTAAATTTTGATTAATATTGCAGTGTAAACGCTATTCTTTTTTGTTTAAATTTGAATTTAAATTTCTGTATGGACTTAAGAAGATGTTTCAAATTTAACGTTTTCATAACAACTTTTTTGAGCCTTGCGATAATCAAAATTTCAACACACCATTTTGCGCTCATTTGATATGCAATGCACACATCCCTAATCTTCCCGCTTCATTAGGCGCAAAGTTTGGTGTCTGTAGATCACTGGAATCCAGAGACCAGTCTTTAAACATCTTCCAAATTGTAAGTGGATTACTTAATCAAGATTTCCGTGGACTTTGCGCGCAATTATCTGTAATGTAATTTTCGCTAATTCTGCAAATGTAAGCAATTTCCGCACATTCATGCGAGTTCCATGAATGCGCGGAAATAAAATTTGAGGATAAAATTTGTAGATTTCGCTTACTTATTGAGGATTCCGCCAACAATTTACGGGTTCCAATTTCAATTATGGGTTCCATGACATCGTAATTTCACATTACGCATATGTTTAATTTGTTTGCAGATTCCGCAAACCATTCATTTCAGCGGCTTCTAAATTTGCCTGTTTTTGGAGCAAATCTGAGCAATACGGTGATTTAGCTTTTTGTTCGTGAAAAACGAAGCAGCCCATGTTATCACAGAAAAATAGATGTTGAAGATCCTGGGTTTTTTTTGAAGATTCGGGAGGGTTTTTTTTCTTCAGAAAAATTTCGACTTTTTAACTGGCATTTTTTGACACAATTTTTTATATCATTCGAAAGGTAGTGTTGTCCTGAGCTCAAAATTGAAAAGAATTTCACTTGTGATCATTTTTGGTAAAGGTATGGGGGTTTAAAGGTTGGCACTTTGGCCAATTAGGGACAGTTAACGCGCGATATAATTCGCGCAATTAACGCGTAAGCGGAGATTTACTCCGTCATAAAAATCGTTCCGAATTGGTTGAACGAAGCTTGATTGCCATAGTTGATTTGATACTAGGAGCGAAACTTATCAATTTGAGTTTTCTATGGCGTGCGGGAGATGTTTTTCACAAAAAATCTCAAATTTAAAGAAAAAATTCACTTTTTTATTACATGTAATTTTTAAATGTTATTAATGCTCCATAGACCTTAAAAGGTTGTCGGAGCATTCAGGGTTTCGCCTTGATACGATCAGTCTTGTTTATTATTTGTGGTTCACACTTAGCTAGGTGTAAGTATTAGTCTGACATTTTGCCGTGTACAAACAATCTTGATACGAGTATGGCTACCGCCTTCCTCGAGAGCTTTGTTTGAAACTGCTTCACTAAGGTTTGTAGGCATAAACCAATTAAGCGCTTCATTCAGGGTTTCTTATATCCGACTGATTTTTCTTAATAGTTCGTACCTCTTAGTTCAATTTTTTGATCTAGCTTACATCTTTTTTCTTTTTCTTATCAGAATCCTTTAAAATTGTTTCATTTTCATAATTCATCTGAAAGTGTTTTCTTAAAAGATTCTCATAAAATAATTGTATTTGCTTACAAGATTATTACAAGATTCCTATAAGAGTTTGATTTTTACTAAAATCTGGATTGTTTTAAAGTTACCTAGTTGCGTCACTTGCTGATGTGTTATTATTGCTGATGTGTTATTATTCAATCAACCCTGCTGTTACTTAAACAGAAGTCGAAAACATAATCAATAGCAGAAGACAATAACAATAAAAATATAAACTAGCATACCTTCTTGCATTGTCTGTGAGCCCTGAGAGT